CCTGCATTCCTGAGTTCTATCAATTGTTATTTTCGGTTAAGTCTTGTTGAGTACTTTTGTACTTAGGGTCGTTGACCCTTGTTGCAGGTGAGGCTCATGAGCAGGTCTGCTTTGGGCCGTGCTGCATGACTGTTGTTCAATGCGATGACGATAAGTAAACATGTGGCCCTTGGGCAGGGCAGTTTAATTGTGTGTTTTGTATTATGTTATAATGCCACTCCACTACTACGTTTTGTAATAATTATCAAACTTAGTTTGTAAGGTTTGAAACTACTATTTTGTAAACTAAGTTATTGTAAGACTTCCGCTATTTTACTCTGTTGTAGATATTTGAATAAATGTTGTAATACTGCAATGACTCTGTAATGTGATCCTGCTCGAAAATCGTGGATGATTCGGGGATCCCCGAGGACACCCGACAGTCTTCTTAAGTTACCTGGAACATATGCATAGTTGTCAGAGGTCGTTGGACAGTGATAGGTGCATATGGGCCCAATAATTTAGGAGGTTCTGCCACAGCTTTTTGGAAAGATGCTAGCTTTAGGGTCAGCTTCAGGGCAAGGTCAAGGGAGGGGTCGAGGCAGGGGTGGAGGGAAGGGTAAAGGGGCGAGGCCCCCGTCGCCTGTAGCTCCCTCGTCATCGTCTGAGGAGGAGCTACCTTCCGTGCACGCCTCTAGTGACGAGGAGGAGGTACCTTCCGTGCACGCCTCTGGTGACGAGGAGGTACAGGAGGAGCAGGAGCAGGTGGAGGAGGATGTAGTGGGTCCCGAGGTCTGGTTGCGAGGTCCCTCGACCCTCCCGAGGCGACCGATACCTCTTGAGAGACGCCCGATGATTTGACCCTCTAGGAAAACGTAAGTAACTTTAGATGTTCTCAATATTTTTTTCGTTTTATATGTTGAAAATTATAATAAAAACTAATAATTTATCTTAATCACTTGGGCAGGGGTTGGATTAAGGTCAGTGAGGGTGATCACAACCGCAAGGTCAACGACATCCTTGGCCTTTTGTGCAGGCTACACTTCCCTGGCTTAGTGCAGTTCCGCGAAGAGCTGCAGCCGGCCTACACGTGGGACCACTACGTTACCGCCCTCGACGCCGCTGATCGTGACGGTAGGGTATTCCCCAACAAGGCGGAGCGGGTGAAGGGTGAGCTGTGGGTAAGTATTCCTCGCACTACATTGCTCAATACATCACATTCACTGGACATTCTTAAAGTAATGACTGTATACATCGCGTCTATATGCAGGACTTCTACAGATGCCAGGAGGGGTACGAGACCAAGGTGGCCTCCATCTCTGAAGAAGTCGCCAAGAAGCTTGTGAAGGACATGCACTACGAGGCGCGCGTCCAGGCCATCATCGACTACTACGCTCAACACAGACGGATGAAGGTTAAAAAAAAGAGGCAAGAACAATGAACCTGACCCGGGAACAATTCTTGTAGGTAAATATAGAACATTAATATTTATTTTTTATGAGATTAATTACGCTTAATTTTATTTTTTCATATAGCATACACTTGATCACGTAGGTGCCTCCGTACTTGTGTGCCCAGCATGTCCAGTGCTGGGAATACATGGTGGACAAGTGGTTGGAGCCCGGGTGGGTGGAGACGCACAACGCTTGCCGGGACAGGCATTTGCTAATGCCACGTGCATCACACCATCAAGGCAGCCTGAGCCTCGACGAATACAGGGTAAAATGGGTACGCGAATTTATTTCTTTATTCTAACGCTCAATTCTGCATAATTTCTAATTATTTTGCATTTTTGCCGCAGTCTTCGTCACATGATGGCCAGCCTTGCTCCCAGTTGAAGGCATGGATTCTGTTAAAAAAGGGCAAGGCTACGACAAACATCGACTTCAACCCGGAGGACCCGCCCGAGGCGTACAGTGATCCTAGCATCGACAGACGCGTTAGTGAGTATACAGCGATGGCAAGTCAGGTTCATGGGTCACAGTTCGATCCGAGCACCCAGGATCTTGATAGAGAAATCGTGATGAGGGTGGAGGAGGCAAGAAGCATGGCCGGTACTGGATTGACGATAGTACACTCGACATGGCCTCTACTCCCACTCTCTCCCAGATCCGAGCAAGGAGCACGAGCGCGAGCCCGGCGATACGCCCACGGCCAACCGCTACACAGTTCCAGATAGAGGCTCTACAGGCTATTTCTGTTTTTTTCATCGTTCGTTGATTGTTACGTACTTTAGCTTTGCATTGTAACATTGGGATGAAATGTTATAGGCCTGGGTGGAAGCAGAAATGAAGCAACGGGAGGAGATGGATGCTAGGATGGTGGCCGAGCGGCAGAGAATGGAGGAAGAAAATCGGTTGAGGATGGACCAAATGTTCTAATACATGCAGAATTTTGCATCGAGTATGGGTCAACCTTTGCCACCGCCACCGATGCTATTCCCTTCACCTCAGCCACCCACAACTACTCCTGTGAGTCACTTGACACCTTATACTACAGATTGAATGTTTGTTGTGGTTGGTCTCAATGTTTCATTTGACGCTTGCACCTGCGCTATGTTTCGGGCTCTTGTCAAATCCTCGCTTGCACCTGCCATATGTTTGTTAGCAAAAATAACCGGACTTGGAAGGCATTTTGATCTGCATGGACATGCTCTCCTCTGTTCAAACCCGCTCACCCCAGCGCCTTGGCCTTTGAGTGCGGTTGTACTCTGGTGGATGGCGTTGCAGACATGGCTGTTGATTGCAGTGACGCTGGAGAGATTCAGCTTAGCTGAGGGCACCGCGCTAGCTAGCACCTGCATGCCGACGGTGAGGAGGCAGCCATATATGACTAACTGTGATGGGTGCGCCACTGTGTAGTCGATGACTGTGAAGAATAATGAATAAAAGCTACAAACAGAACCTTAAAGAAGCATGAGTGCTGGCTTGGAATTTTTTTATGGTCTTTTTTTTCTTGGAATTTGTCGTACTGTTATCTCTGCTCTTAATAATATTTTATCCTTTATCTTCTTCAGACTTTCTTATGAAGACCTTAGAATTGAGTTTGAATTTGAGCTGAATCACCATTCAAGAAGGTTGTTACAATAATATAAACCCATATTCCCTGTTAAGTGTTAACTGGCATTTGAACTGCTTTGCTGTGCCTAGAAGTCAGGACATGTAAACAGTCTCACCAGTCCACATCATGATAATAGTCCCTCCGATTAAACCTGATGACTACTCCATTGCCTGCAAGTTGTTTTTCTTAGATAATGGATATAAGTTCTGGCTTCAGTCTATCGTCACGGAACAGGCAAAATTATTCTGCAAGTTGTAGTGATGGTAACTGAAAACAATGGAGTTCCTTTCAGTTCTCTTCTTTTCAACATGAGTGTCATGCTTGTGCATAGTGCCATAGACCAACTAGTTGATTGGTCAGTTTTCAGTATGTCCTCATCCAAGTTGAATATTGGAGACCACTAAATGCAACTTGGATGTTTCCACATTGTGGTTGACTGGAATAAATATCTTCTGATCATATCCAAGTGCAGAAATTCAGTAGCCAATATACCTGAATATATCTGGAGACATTTTCCTTGTGTATCTACGACTTAGTCTAGTCATATATTGGACTTGGTCACATGTTACTTCCTCTATATTTAGGTCTACCCTCCCCCCCCCTCTATCTGAAACTGCATAACACATATTAGCGTGCTGTGTGCATAGCACGAATTTAAGTGTTGCATTAGTGTTGAATGTTGTGATTACAATTACAGTATGATGTAGATGCACACCTTTCATTCACTTTGCAATATGAAGTCTAACACTATTAAAAAGGAAGCTAACACTGTTTCGAATACTTCTCTTTTGTGCAGAATCAATCGGCGGCATCAAATAATCAGTCTCAAGACCCGGATTTGTCGCAGAGGTTCCAAGGGCCTACGCAGTGATTGCATTTGCATTTGTGGCTTATTGTGACTTAGTTGTGACTTGTGATGATGGTTTATTGTAAATTGTGATGATGGTTTATTGTGACTTGAGGTTTATTGTGAATTATGATGATGATTTATTATATCTGTGACATATAATTATGCCTGCGATGATGTTTTATTGTGAATTGTCATGGTTTTTTGTGAATTGAGAGGGGTCCGTTATAGTAAAAAAGGGGGGCTCTTGGTCGCTTTGCCGAGTGTAACACTCGGCAAAAAACACTCGGCGAAGAGACCATTTTCTGTCATTCTGGGAACCTTCTTTGCCGAGTGTTTTGGATTTGCCGAGTGTATTCCAATGGACACTTGGCAAAGTGACCATAAAATCTAACCGTTGCTCGCTTGTTTGCTGAGTGTTTTAGGCGTGGCACTCGGCAAAGTGTCTAAAAGTTTGCCGAGTGTTTTCGTCTTGACACTCGGCAAAGTTGAGAAACTTTGCCGAGTGTTTTCGTCATGACACTCGGCAAACTTGAGAAACTTTGCCGAGTGTTTTTCCGTTGTGCACTCGGCAAAATCGACGTCACCGTTCCATCCTGTCAAATTTTTTTTTTTTGCCGAGAGTTTATTTTTGCCGAGTGTTTATTGACACTCAACAAACTGTTTGTCGAGTGCCCGATAAAAAACACTCGGCAAACTACTGTTTGCCGACAAATTAATGCCGTGTGCTATATGCCGAGTGTTACACTCGGCAAAACGTTTGCTGGGTGTTTTTGGGCCTTTGCCGAGTGCCCTGTTACTCGGCAAATCTACTGTAACCGTAGTGCTTGTTGAAAAACAAACAAACACTATTTTAGATACGGCTCCTGTTAAACAGAGAGTTTGTCTACTAAAATCTTTTTTAGTGGTGAATGAGAAGTCTCAGATCAGCACGCAATGATAATCGAGACTGGTCCCCGAGATACATTATTAACTTCGTACTATACACAGTCAGCACTGTCCTTGCCATGTGATAAACCTGCTCAGAACTCGGTTCTGGCGCTAGCTATCGTCTACTATCGATATACGACGAGCAGCTTAGCAGTGGCGGTGACTCGGAGGAGGCGTCAACGCCATGGCCGGAGGAGGTGCAACGGTGTGCGTGACCGGAGCCGGCGGGTTCATCGCCTCGTGGCTTGTGAAGCTCCTGCTCTCCCGCGGCTACACCGTGCACGGCACCGTCCGCGACCTCAGTGCGCAAGCTGGCATTATACCCTTCCTTTCTGTTGGATTGGTTTCTTTCGCTTGTATTCAGGACTGGCATTTCAGGTGACGAGAAGACAAGCCATCTGAAGCGCCTCGAGAATGCTGCCGGAAACCTCAGGATTTTCAAGGCTGATCTGCTGGACTACGATGCGATGGCAGTTGCGGTCGTCGGGTGCCAGGGAGTTTTCCATGTCGCCACTCCAGTGCCTTCAGAGAACCTGACTGACCCAGAGGCAAGTCCTGTTTTCCACTGTCCTCAAATCTGATGTCCTTTTTTAATTCAGAAACAGGCATCTAACCGTTTCTGATTAAAAAAATGGCTTCACAAATTCTGTGCATAAACAACGTGCAGCTACAAATGATGGGTCCTGCTGTCACTGGCACAACAAATGTGCTCAAGGCTGCCTCTGCCGCGAATGTCCGGCGAGTGGTGGTTGTGTCATCCATAGTTGCCGTTGAGATCAGCCCGAAAGATTGGCCTGAAGGTAAGATCCGAGATGAGAGCTGCTGGTCAGACAAAGAATTCTGCAGGAGCATTGAGGTAACCTGTACTGCTAACTTCTGCATTAGAGTACGCACAGCCAAGATCTGTTTTTTTTTATTTGGACAAATTGCAAGATCTGCTTAGTCGATTTGCTGCCATGTGTACTCCAGAGCTGGTACCCGGTCGCCAAGATCCTCTCAGAAGAGGCGGCGCTCGCATACGGGCGGCAAACTAGGCTCGACGTGGTGACTATCAATCCAGGGTTGGTGTTCGGCCCCCTGCTACAGCCGACGGTTAACACAAGCATCCAGTTCCTCATCTACTTCCTCAAAGGTTGACACGACACTCACCAAGGCGTCGCTTTCTATTTGTCTCCAGATCCATTCAGAGCTCACAGTCGATTTGAATTTGACACGAGCACCACCTTATTATAAATCTTTTGAGCGGCGATGCAGGAGGAACCGACCTGGTGAGGAACAAGCTCTGGCACATCGTCGATGTCCGTGACCTCGCCGACGCGCTGCTGCTGCTCTACGAGGTGCCTGAAGCAGCCGGCAGGCACATCTGCGCGCCTCATGTTATCAGTGCTCGCGACCTGCTGGACTTGCTGAAGAGCATGTACCCTGAGTACCCTTTCATTACCAAGTAAAAGTCTCGCTTATTATTAAAAAAATACGAAAAAATGCTACTCTTCCATTTTGTTAAACATTGAATCTGGTGTCCAATTGGTTGGCAGGGAGGGCATATGTGATAGAGATCACCCAGCACCGATGACTTCTGACAAGCTAAAGAAGATCGGGTGGAGCTGCCGGCCGCTGGAGGAGACGATCCTGGACACAGTCGAGTGCTGCCAGCGGGCTGGGTTTCTTGACGATGTGGCTGGGGAGACTCCCTGTCGTTTCCCTCCTATTTTCAACAAAATTTAGCCTCGGCAAAAGTATGGATTGTGATTATTGCCTATGCTTTTGCTTATCTTATTGTGGACAAGCATCAGCTTTTAAATAAACTTCATTGCATGCTGTTGTATTCGGTGGTGCTGCTATGTTTGTATTGAAAGTTCATTCGAACTTGTCAGACTTTATACGTGTTCAATTTCCACATAAAATGCATGAAACACCCTTAGTATGTATGAGGTTGTTCCGATTCTTGTCCCAATTTTGTTTCTTATTTCTTATGAAAAGCATGGAAACCTTTTGGATCTTGGGACAACTATTTCTTTGTAAGTTTTTGTTTCTCTTGTGGTCATGTACCAGATTAGGTTTTAACTCTGTCGTCGTAATTTGGTGATGCTATTGTGTGTCTCTGATTGCATTGATTGGATTGGCTGTATGAACTAAGTTCTGTGGTCCTAAGCTGCTCCAACAGCCTCGCCCCCACCCCACACCACCGCACGGTGGCTTTGGTGGCGGTGCCCAAAACCCTAGCAGTTGTCACCTCTTCGCTCTCCCTCTCTGTCTCCCTATGTCAGGAGGAGAGCACTCAGATCCATGGGGAGGTAGCATTCAGCCATGGCGACGCCACAAGAGACATCTGTGGTAGGGCGCGTCATTTGGTGTCACTCACCAATGTCAACGCGTGTCCAACCTTCATGAGCTTGGCCAGTGGTTCAATAAGTGCCCACGACACCTCGTCTCTTGACTTGGTCTATCCCTGATCTTGACTCTGGTCAACGTCGTCTTCATCACCCATGTACTCTTACTCTTCTATGTGTCCAATGTGAGCTGCCCATGGTCCCTCCTCGGCCTTTTGGTCATTTGGTACAAGCCTTCTCGTCCATCCTTCACCGCTTCTTAATCAATTACACATGAACTACTCTCTTGATCTTCTTCATTGTTTGTCAACCACCAACGTGCACCCAACACCTACACATTCACAAGCTAACAGGCATGTTACACAACACACTCAGTGACCCACCAATCAGTAAACAAAGCCAATTAGTTAGGGAGCTGGGGTGCTGAGCCTAAGCTTCGGTGCCCCCAAGGGCCTGGAACTAGATAAATCCGGTGGCCTTCAAAACCCTCCAGAGCAACCACTCTTTCAAACATAATTTCAAATGCAGTGACTCCAATTGAGTCCCAAGGGACTACAACACATTTAGCACTTGAGTTAGTAGCATTTTCAAAAACGTTTTCCAAAGCTTTTCACTTGCTTCCTTAGCACGTCACTAGGTCTAATACATATGCAAAGTTAGTTCAATCTAGTGACATTAGATAACCATAATTGCTTTAGAGATCTCCTCTTAATAGTGTGACTATCTATCCTAAGCTCGACCGTGCACCTTGGCTGGCCAAACAAAACCCCTATTGCATATATATTTGTCTTCAGGCTTGTTTCCATCTCAATTTTCACTTCTTTTCCAATGTTGAGCACTTGCTTCATGTCATGATCATCATCTCCACCATCTCCTAGCCTTGCTCAACTCCTTCATGTGGACCTAGATCAATCATCTCTATTGAAAGCATTAGTCCACTAATTGTCACCCTATTACCAAAACCAAACTAGGGCTTTCAATGTATTACCTAATTCAAATTTGGTCAGGATGTCACAGTTTCTTTCAATTGAACCGTACTTGTTGTGGTGCTCCTCTAATTGCAGGTTTCTCGGTGGCCCACCGATAAATTATGTACATGTTCAGTTTTTGGGCTCATTTTTTCCTTAAGACTAGGCTAATTCTATTATAAACTGAGTGATGTTTCTGCCATCTCTTTTGAGGAAAAAGATGGAAGAAAACTTCCATACGAAACTGAGTGAAAGGTGCACTTTATTCCATATAGAGTACATCATAAACCACACATTTATTTGAAATCAACCACTCTCCATTGAACACCAACATTATTGGTGTGTGATTAGAACACATATCCAACAATGTTCTAAGTGTAATTAGGTAACACTAGAAGCAATGGAGAGTTTCCTTCATTTTTCTATAGCCATATGAAAAAGGTGAGGAAGACAGCAAGGGCATCCCTCAACATCTTGTAGAAGCGCCATCTTCTCATAACTTTCAACACTATCCAGTAATGTTTCCTCTAGTGTCTTGCTTGGTTTCCAGCCCAAATTCTTCAGTTTCACCGACATAAGTGGCGTAACTATAGAGTTAGGAACCAAATCATTGCCGCTGCAGCAAAGAGATATAAACCATGTAAAATAACAGCTATCCATTAAAATTCTACCCATAGATGTGTGGTAAGAGATTCATCAGTTTACATAATTGTAATTAGGATGAGCCTTTTTCAGTATGTTCACCAGATCTATTGCACTGATGCAATTTGGCGCGCAGATGTATCTCCTGGCTGATTTCTCTTTCTCGTATACCAGAAGCAAAGCATCAACCACATCACGGACATCAACTATGCGCCAGGGAATGTTCTTCATCACAGTAGGACCTCCTTTAACCAAGCTAATGAAATTTCAGTGTATTGTACTTTTTCCATACTTTTAAGAGCATGAAGCATATAGTCTAGTGTAGCTCAGTGCATAGAGCAATTAAAAAAATAGAATCTGAGTAGCACTAGGGTTATTACGCTACTACATAGGGATAATTATTATTTTTCTGCTTCAGATTTTTATCTATGTTCCGCTCATAAAAAAAGTTAGCTATGCCATGATTCAAAGCTGGAACCATGAGAGATGAAATCCGGATGCCAACCCCCAATTTTTTGCACGTAGCAAGTTACCAATCACACATTATCCACGTGAAATATATGTGTATACATTTTTTAGATCCGAACCCCACTATCTTTCCCTTATTTGGTTAATCCATCCACGTATACTTTATTATTGATTAAAATAGGAGTTTTTTTTTCCTTTGGACCCTTGCTGGCTAAAATTTAGGATGATTATTTTGTCATCTCAATGACTTAAAATTAAGATAAGAAGTTACATCGATAGCTATAAAATTAATATAAGCCTTTCATTGTTTAAGTATGAATACTTTATGAAAATTTTAATATCTCACTATGAACTATTGTATACGAAAGGACAGATGAGCATGCAATGATTTTTTATATAGTTTGGGCCTGCCTAGGGATGATGGCTTGTTTTGTGGTCCACTCTATTACAATTGTGAGAGCAATGCATCTAGAACTAAACCCTAAGAGCTTCTATGTCCCAAGAGGAATCAGGTATTACATTTAATAGGACGCAATGAACCACCGTGCGCTGCCTTAGTTGGGTATGGACTCTTACTCTTTATCCGGCTAATCACAGGAATTTCTTCTTCAACTGTGTATGCATGATTTTTTTTTGTAGATTGAGTTTAATTTGCACCTTTACGTACTTTTGCTACAATTTACATCTATAGATGCACAATGGATGTTTCAAGGGGCTTTCACGATTGCTACAATTTACATTTCAAAATTTTCGGAAACTTCTAAGTACATGCATGCTTCAAGGGGCTTTCACGATTGCACGGAAGGGGTGGTTTGCATAAAATATTTTGCCCTAGAATATTGATGTGTCTAGGGCTCTACTCAGTCCATAACCTAAAATGATTAGTAATGTGGTATTCCATTTAATGATAGTTTAGGTGAGTAAACTAACACTATCATCAGTCTATTAAACTAGTATACAGTAATTCTAGCTAAAAAAACTCCAGCCAAATAAAGTTGGTTGTTGCTGAATGCAACTAATTTTTCTAATAAATAACAAGAAAATTTAATATCTGTGATAATCCTAATTACTAACAAGAAATAGCAGAAAATAACAACGAATATGATGCAACCTTTAATAATGTATAGGAGGAATTCATGGCTAACATTGACCATAGGCCGTAGGAGTGGTCCTAAAGCCATAGTAGGGCAAACTGTAATGACATTTAGTCCATTTTTCTCTGCATATTCCAGGGCTGTCTTTTCAGCAATAACCTTGGCAACCATATACCAGTCATGCCAGCAAAACCAGGTTAGTCCTAAGTAAAACCACCCTATGCAACAATAATTAACAATAAGAATATGTAATGATAAACATAAATTTGTTATTCTTGTGCCAACATGCACTCTGTGGATGGACAATTTCTTTAGTGTAACCGTGAAGAACATAGAACTTTGACTCTCCAACAGAGATATCAGTGCGTCTTATTCAAGACCCAAGTTGTGGTCAAAACGGGAGTACCAAAGGGATAAACGACTAAACCTAGTATACCTGACTTTGCCCATTATGTGAGTCGTGTGGAGGTGGAGCTATTCTAGTTTGTGCTTATTCATCATTCTACCCGAGTAGCTTCCTAATCGCGCAGTTCTATATAGGGTTGGAACAAAGCAGAGGGATTATATTATTATTATGGGCTCAAGCTTCCCAACCCACCACCTAAGCCTAGCCCACCCTCTACACTCTAGAACACAATGGAGAGGAAGGACAAGGTAGAGAGAGAGAGAGAGAGAGAGAGAGAGAGAGAGAGAGAGAGATTAATTAATTATTAGTAGTAGAAGAGAGGAGGACAGAGGAAGGAGATGAACCCCTCCTTGCATCTGGCACTAGCACCAACCTCATTCTTTTTGCAGAAGTTTATGTCCGACCAGCACTCCTCGTCTTTGGGTCTATCTTGAGGCCAATTTGGGTTGAAATGAACAGCGGCGGTGGACGAAACCACAATAACCTTCTGAACATTATTAGCCGAGCAAGCCTGAAGAATGTTTAAGGTACCTTGCACAGCAGGAGCCGGTACTTCTGACTGCATGGTTTATGGTAAAAATATATATAAGAAATCTTCTATGTATAAACAGCTCAGAACGACACAAAATTCAAATAAAAAATTGCATCTTGGTATCAATAAGTCAGTGAAACTATGGCCGTGAGAAAACATAAAATCTGGATTGTACACTACTCTCAGTCTTACACTCTTACTATTGCTAATTGGAGCCCCCAAAAAAGCCTACACGTTAATCTTAAAAGACGTGATAGGAAAACAAGAGAAATCTTGAAAATTTTC